TTTGTTATGGATTTCGCGCAAAGCTACACGACGGCTATCTGCACTAGCCGTCCCTAATTTAGTAGTGAAAGTATAGAGGGAAGGCAGCTAATCATCATCACCCACCGCCAACTTTTGAGCTACTTTTTTACCAACGAATAGTGGGATTGACCGACACATTATAACTCCCCCACCGCTGAAAGGGCGAGCACGTTTGGTGTGACGGGGATTCGAACCTGCGACTCGCAGATTGCCAGGCCAGTTACGTTTCGGTTCGTCTGGGTTCAATAAAGACATTCCTCTTCAGATTGGGAATTATGAAACTTCGCTGATTATGCTAATTATTTGAGTTATTGTTGCCGTTATGTAAGCTAAAAAATTATAAAATATATTTTCGATGGCGATAATAGCTCCAGATAGAACCACTGATTTTAATAAATCAACAAAGGAATCTTTATATGTCAACCAATGTGAAATCCTGTGACCACTATGGTTCGCTATTCTATATCCAATACAAATGTGGAATTTTACTGGTTTCAATTCTTCTAGTTAAAGTTATCGAATCTTTATTAAAATCCTAGTAAAATGTCCCCCGATGGAGCAACGGTGAATCGTCGGATTTACAGCGCTAAAATCAGGGGTTTGATTCCCCTCAATGGACACAGCAGATAGCCCAAAGTGACTTTGCTATAACAACACACACCCAACTTATTGGCCCGGTATGGCCAGGTGGTTAGGGCGCTCGACTCGCAATCTGAGGTTCGCGGGTTCGAATCCCCGTCCCGCCAAACATGATCGCCCTTTCAGCCGTGGGGTTGTTATAAAGTGACGGACAATCCCACTATTCGTTGGTAAAAAAGTAGCCCAAGAGTTGGCGATGGGTGATGATGAGTAGCTGCCTTCCCTCTAGTCTTTCACTGCTAAATTAGAGACGGCTAGCACAGATAGCTCTCGTGTACCATTGTGCGAAATTCAAAACAAACCTAGTAAAAAATAACAGAACCTGTACACCATCTATATTCGTTTATTTAAAGTGGTTTAAGATTCATCTCGCAATACTGATCAGAAGAAGATGGCCTCCTATATTCTATAATCAATTATTTGTAACTGAAACTATGACTGTTTGTGTGAACTTTTTTCAGTATAGTTGAATTTTTTGTAAAGTAATATTATCAGATTTTCAAAAGCTTTAAACCTTAGAATGATAATGTTACTAGGTTTTAAGAGACGCCTTGTATTGTTTTAATATCACCCAATTAAGTTTTATTATTACGTATACATTATTCAACGAATAAGTGTTAAAACTAGCAGTGTGGTGTTTAAATCCAAACTGAAATATAGAACAAAAGATGGATAAATTTGATGGCAAAAGTATTTTCTATGGAAAAGTTACCCAACAATTTAGCAAGTTATAATATGATGTACTTTGGGGACAAAAATGATTCATTATACTTTTGGATGACAGGGATGACTGGTAACGTCAGTATTAACAGTAACGGAGACAGAGATGCTGATTATGCCCTAATGGATATGAATCCGAAAACAGGAATTTTTGAGGTAAGCGTTCTGAGTGCATGCTGATAGAAGTAAATAACTTCAGAAGGACTTCAGTTAACTCTGTTCGAGAGAGATGATGATGATGAAATAGTAATTTACTCTGTTTATTTTGATATTCATGTATAAACATCTTGTAAAAATATTTGTAAATGTAACACCTTAAGTTCTTTAAGAAATTGCTACGAATTTTATAAGGATTACTCACTCAGTTTAATTATTTACTATACAAAACAATCTTTTTTTAATTTTCAGTAAAACTTATGGAGCTTACTTAGCCTATAGGGTATCTGGTTGTTTTTGTACAAATTATACATCCGAACATCATAGATTGTTAACGGTCTTAAGTACACGAAACCGATTTTGTATTTTCCTTTGCAGAAATATATTCGACAAAAGCCATTTTATTCCTAATTTAAAAGTTCATATTTATTATTCTTTAATTATCGTACTTAAAGCTGTGTTGATAAGAAATTAACATTGAAGAGTTTCCAGTTTTAGCATTTAATAGTGATCAGTACGTCTGGAATTGTTTATTAAAACCTATTAGAACTGTGTATGACCTGGAGCACGTTGTTTAGTTCAAGTAATTGTAACACTGTGAAAAATGTCATTACAAATGGAAAAAAAATCACATATTATGATAACAGACAACTGAATTGAAAGCTTATTATTTCAGTCAAATTTTTTAGGTCTTGAGGGTCGTCGACAATCGCGTTACTTGGTTATTCTTACAATTATTAATTTTAAAAAATAGCCACATTGAGATCTTTGTTAAATATAATTGTGTTAAGAATAAGCATTTAAATCCTTCCAACACTTATTTTGTTAATAATTCATAAACTTGGTTCATTTTTTTCATAACTCTTAAAACGATTTCTATTTGGAAAGTTAATATTGTTAAATAAATATGATTCTTTATTCTGTTAATGTAGATTGTTGCTATGTATTACGGTGCCACAAAGCAGTTTGTAGACATCGACGGAAAAGAAATTCATTGGCCTGGTGGCCGCCAGGGGCCGCCACCAGATACACCTCCATGTGGTTTTGATGGATCAGAATGTCCAGGTATTTGTTTTCAATTAATTCAACTTACAATTAATACCCCCCCCCCCAAAGTTAAGCATAATTTACGTAAAATTGTAGAGATTTATAAGTCACAATATTTATTAAACTTTAATATCTGAAATGTGGTGAGTTGAAAATAACTCTAAAAACCCAAATATAATATGAAAATTGCTGTTGTTAAGCGAATAGCACCAATAATATTTACGTGTTGTTTAAAGACTCAGAAAATTGGACATAAGAGGCAGAAAATTTAAAAAAAGCCATAAATTTACAAACACAAGAATAAAGAGACAATAATTTAAAAGAAAAGTAAAATAGCGAAACATAAAACTTACAGAATAATTACAAAGGAAAATCCATTTGATGAAAGACAAGACCGAGGAAGGCATAAAAAGTTTAGAAAAAAAATTATAGCAACAAAAATTATGAAGTACAAAAGGAAATCAATGAATTACAGAAAATGTATCACACCAAACTCGAAGAATCCGTAGAAATGGTTCAAAATTATATAAATACCAGGATGAAAATCAAGAAACCAAATAAAAAATGTGAGGCTCAAAACAGCTACACTTCTCTTTGGGTTTGTTCAAGAATTTCATCCTCAAGGAACTAGAATCAATTTAAAGTGGTAGAAAACCAACTAAAGACGCCATCTAGCAATTATGGGATTAGGAGATAGAATAGTATAGAAACACAAAGTCTCTCTGATGGAGGTCTAGAACAATGGAAATGAACAATTAAACAGTTGTTTACTCAGAATGAAAGTAGTAAACCATAAAGTTGTGTTTCACCTAAATCTTTAGAGCATATACTGTTAGTAACTACAGATATTATCCTTTATGGAATAGACACCGCTCTCGATGGATGACAGAAAGCTTCTATATGTATAGAAAACATAGACATCGCATCTGAGATAAGAAATCCTTTATTGAAATAAATCAGAGAACCAACCTATTTATTGATAGCAGTCTTGTAAAATGTTGATTGGCACTGGCTCCACAACTGCAGTTATTTGACCTGAGCTTGTAATGAAAGCTCATAAATTATCTCTAGAGAGAAGAAGAATGATGTATTGATACCAACAACACGTAGTCATAAAGTTCGAGCAAGAGGAAAGTTGGAAGTTACATTCTCCTTGGGAAGCTTGTCTACACAATATGATATGACTCCATGTTGGACACAGAGATAAGAAGTTGGACTTGCTCGAAAACATTCTCACAGTTTTATAAGAAAAAAGAAAAAAATGTGGTAATTACTAGAAAAAAAACATTGTACCTCATTTTTTATAGCTTGTGATATGTTTATTACAAATAAATACGTACACATATATAAATACGTTTAGAATCTTTAGTTAGGTCATCATCAGGCAAAACAATAATGACAATTAAGTGGAATAGAAAGTTTAAAATAAAAAAGAATTGTTATGATGTTTACAACCGGCGAAGAATGATTATAATTAAACTAGTTATAAAACATTATTATTAGGTTTATTACAACAATAGGCCTTATGACATAAAACATTGGTATTAGGCCTATTGTTGTTATTATTAGGTTTATTACATTTTTATACACTACATTCTTTATCTAGTCCCTTAAGGGTTTTAAAGAATTAGAAGAGTGTATAATAATAATATTCGAACCACAATATATCTGTCATATCCATTGCTGACGACGCGTTTCGCTCAATGCAAAGCTCTTCAGGCCGACTAGGATACAATAAACACAGCAATGGTCGTAACACTATTTATATAAACCACTTACCAAAACAACAATAGGCCTAATACTAATTTCTTATGACATAAGACATTGGTATTAGGCCTATTGTTGTTGTGTCAAATGGCTTATATAAATAGTGTTCCGACCACTGCTGTGTTGTTGTATTCGACCAGCATGAAGAAGTGTGGATTAAACGAACCTGTCGTCAGCAATGGATATGACAGATATATTGTTGTTCGAATATTATTATTATACACTCTTCTAATTCTTTAAGACCCTTAAGGGACTAGATAAAGAATGTAGTGTTTTGAAAAAATAAATGTTTTCATTTGAAGAACGCTTTGAAAATGGCGTTCTGTTTGACCTGTGAATTTTCTTAATAAAGACTTAAGTGTTTTGGAAAATATGTTTTGTTTGTAGTTAAGTACAAAGCTACACAATGAACTATCTGTGCTCTGCCCACCACGGGTATCGAAACCCGGTTTCTAGCGTTGTAAGTCCGCAGACATTCATCTGTGCCGCTGGAGGGGGAGGGGCAGAAAGTATGATAATTTGTTGTCTTAAGTAGATGATGGTCCATGAAACTACATATTCATCAACTGTAAACATTTTCATGGAGTTTTAAGTATTTTGTGGAGAAATATCCCGATTAAGCTTTCAATCACGCTCTTAGGGTATTCAATATATAATAGTATTTTATGGAGAAAAAAACAATTTCAGACGTAGAATAAAATAGGTTGAACAAATCTTAAAGATTCAAGTCGCTAGACATGTTTCAGGTAGATCATATATCCTACAGGTTGATCTTAAATCCATCGAAATACAAAACAAAAGGACTACAAAAAATACAGGACTACGAATCCAGTTTGATAGATTCATTTTTGTGTGTATTATTATGATAAGCATTTCGCAAGTTGGAAACAATTAAGTGTGATTTTTTTTAGTAATTACCGGAGTTTGTTCGTTTTTTCTTACAAAACTGCATTTTTCTGCCTAAAAATGTGTAGCTGACATTTTCATATGTTAGGACAAGAAAATCAATGTGCACTGCGTAAAAATAATACAACACCAATGGTTGAACATCTAGCGTTAACAAGAATGGAAGCACAAAATAACAAAGACAACGAACCTCAAGTGCAATAGAGTAGAACATAAAAAGACCAGCTGTCCCCCCCCCCCAAAAAAAACATCCACCGTGATCGCCTTTTAAAATACGTCGATGGGAGACAGCCAACTAGTTAACTCCAGAGAAGTCAACCTATTTGGAAGCCCGGATTTCCTGTCGAGATCGTTCGAGAGTATCATCAAGGATGGAACCTCTAGTTAATTTCCTCGGTCATCTAGTTTCACAAAACTCCTCCCTAAACAACAAGATGGTAAGGATAAGAACTCATACCTTATTTGCACCATAACTCACGGAAAAGGAAATCACTAAAAAGACTGGATGACTGAACATTTTAAGAACAATAAATGACGGAAGAAAGACGTTTTTATTAATCAATATTTTGAATATATTCTGTTTCACATATCTGATTAATCATCTAATGATTTTGATATTTAGATTTACGTACATTAATGTTGTAAATGGCCAAAAGCTGTATTATTGTAAGTATGGAAGTTTAAGCTTGGTGTGCCATTGTTTTCTTCGTATAATATGAATTTCCAACGGAAATCATAATCCAGGTAGTGGGGTAGTGTTGGAGCCTATGTTTGTAATCTATACGTTTCTAAAAATTTGAATTGTTGCTTAGCTAGAAGGAGCTAAAGTAAACCAGAGCATAATCTAGAAAAAACTAGCAGCCCAAACCAAAGGCCAAATGCCTGAAACTTTCTTCGAAGTTTAGGAAAACCTTTGCGCCATAACTAAAAAGTGAATTAGGCTACAGTTAAGCAGTGAGTTATATAATGATGAAGTTATTGAATTAAAGAGTATGTGTGTCATTGAGTAAGTGAGATTGTTCGTCAGTTAATGAGTGATCAGAATATATCTGTTACTCCTAGTCAGTTAGTTAACTCAATGCTGTAAATATTAAGTTTGTGTTTTAAAGAATAACTAGGAATGATGGAGTTATTGAATTAAAGAGTAAGTGAGTGAGATTGTTCGTCAGTTAATGAGTGATCAGAATATATCTGTTACTCCTAGTCAGTTAGTTAACTCAATGCTGTAAAGTATTAAGTTTGTGTTTTAAAGAATAACTAGGAATGATGGAGTTATTGAATTAAAAAGTAAGTGAGATTGTTCGTCAGTTAATGAGTGATCAGAATATATCTGTTACTCCTAGTCAGTTAGTTAACTCAATGCTGTAAATATTAAGTTTGTGTTTTAAAGAATAACTAGGGATGCTAAATTAGCAAAGAAGTGTAATTTCTGTCAGACGTAGTTTATTGTTGAAGTTAGGCCTATCAATGAACGTTGGTTACGCTTGTCGAGGAATTCGAGCTTGAAGAACTAAAACGTTTTTTATCGTTTAGTGAACTGGACTTTCCATTCTTTTTTATACCGAATAACCCAAACGAATGGGACCAACAAAAGGAACCAGTACAGCAAATATATCACAGTTATTTTTGTGTGTTTTTTCAGAGACACCTAGATATGCCATTTTCACTGGAATACTGACTGGTTTATTGATTGTTCTCACCATATTATCTTTATTTATCTACAGGTGAGAAAAAATAAACTTTATGAACCTGAAAACTTCTATAATACCTATTTATTTATATTAAGTACATGTAAATAAGATATTCTGTATAGATATTAATCCTATATTAAGAAAGATAAGTTAATGTTAACTTTAACATAATCCTATCTGGACATGAAAATTACCTTAACTTCATATTTTTTAATTGTGTACTGACAATATATATAATAGTATTTTAAGCTAGTTATATAAAACATTCCTTAACTATAACTATGTTAAACATTTAGGATCAATCTTGCATAAATATGACTTGCGATATATTAAAGATGTTTCAATTGTAATTAAATGTTTTGATTCATTATTAATGTTAATTTGTAAAGATCGCATCACCTTAAATAATATCAACCAAGGTGAAAATAACTCAAAGTGTCATTCATTATAGAATCTGAGTTTAATTGTATGTATTTTTACATTAATATTGTTCGTGTTTATGAAAAGAAATCACCTCATCACAAAAGATAAACGTTAGCGCATTCTTTTTATACATCAGACTAATTCTTTAACAATTTGTTTTTTATAATTTATATTTCGGAAGAAACATTAACGTGAGAAATGCGTTGTTTTCTCTTTCTTTCTTGTTGCGTTATATCTACAAGACACTACAAGTTCGAAGCCGAGATTGCTTCAATGAGTTGGCGAATAAAACAGGAAGAAGTTGTCATTAATCCATCTTTCAAGCGCCATTTTGGTTCCAAAATGAGTTTTACAAAGTTCAGTGGCTCTGTAAGTACATACCAAGTCTCTCATGACTGGTTGAGTCTCAGACTGTGATACTTGACAGTATATTTATTTTTGTGTATGTTTTGAAATCAGGCAAAGACTACGTCTATAGAAATATTAAATATTGTGATTAGTTAAAACTTAGGTGTTATTTTCTTGTTAAGGGACTTACAATTATGTATACGTTTATAAGAGTACTTTAAATCTTTTTATTTGGGGGGGGGGACTTTTCAAGTGAAAAAGTAAAAAAAAAAATTACTTAATGGAAGAGAACTCTTAATCTTTACCTACTTGAGATACTGTTTAAATCAGCCTTTCCGTAGAATGTGTAACTGTGATAATGGATTTATTTTGGGGGTGGGTGGATGGAAGTGAACATTCTCCTATTTAGATAAACCTATACAGTGTTTGGTGTTTTTGTTTTATATAAATGGGTGGATGGAAGTGAACCTTCTCCTATTTAGATAAACCTACACAGTGTTTGGTGTTTTTGTTTTATATAAATGGGTGGATGGAAGTGAACATTCTCTTATTTAGATAAACCTATACAGCGTTTGGTGTTTTTGTTTTATATAAATGGGTGGATGGAAGTGAACCTTCTCCTATTTAGATAAACCTACACATTGTTTGGTGTTTTTGTTTTATATAAATGGGTGGATGGAAGTGAACCTTCTCCTACTTAGATAAACCTACACAGGAGAATGTTCACTTCCATCCACCCATTTATATAAAACAAAAACACCAAACACTACTTAAATAAACCTACACAGTGTTTGGTGTTTTTGTTTTATATAAATGTTATGATTTTTTTTAATGCTAACCCTAAAATGTTCACCATAAGGCTGATATCAAACAGTTATTACAAAGCATAAACATTGTATATTCTAGTTTTTACCCTATTACAAAGCTTGTTAGAACTAGAGGTTTCTTTAGAATTTTGCCCTGTTTTTGCTACGTAAAAATCAATTGTAAAACGTCCTCTGAGAAAACTAGCTGTCGATATTTGTTCTTAAAAGTGACAATAAAAATAGGAATTTTTGTGTTATCACCATGTTTAATAGACTTAACTTATGTAGTTACTTCTAAACTACGATTACCCTTACTAAGCCTCGCACATAACAGTATATGGTGCAAAGTCTTCGTTTACCAATACTAGTAGTAAACCCTCTAAAGCTCTGTATTTTTGGTTTCAGAGAAAAACTTAAAGTGCCAGAAATCAAAGTCTACATTAATATTAAGAAATGAGTACAACAAATGTCATGGGAAAAGCGATTATAGGGATTTGTGTAATTATTTAGTAATGTGCGCAATCTATTACTAGGAGATTAAAAGGGAAAGCGTATTGTGTCCGATTTTCCGCTTTTGTAATTTTATCGGAATCCATGTAGACAATAATTTTTAAACTTTCCTTATTTATTGTTCAAAAGATAAGCAGTTAGACGGACAGCATTTTAGGTCGACTGAGCTCATTGAATCACGGTTACTAAAAGTTACATTAAAATGCAACTTTCTAGTAATTATAAATATCGAATCATCATATTGTACAGTCGTCATATACAGACGTCGTATTAAAACGTTACTAAAGTCAATGACACAACGTCCAGTCATTCTCTACCTGATGACCGTGCATCTTGACAATAGCTCTGCAGTATAGTTTTTATTGCAAAATGCTTCAACGTAAAGCTGTCATGTCCAAAGCACACCCTTCCTCCATTCTGCTTTCAATAATGTATCATTTCGCGAAGTGACTGATATATCTTCGTGTGAAATAGCATAAATATCCTGCTATTTATTCTCCGCCTGATTGAGCTATGCAACAGTCGAACAGATATGTCGTGAAAGCAATTTGTACTCACCTGATTTGTGTCACTCTTGTATCTGGTGATCCTTCTTGATTATGTTACGTACTGTTGCTTGGGACACGTGGACGGCTAACCTTTGTACAACCTTTGTAGCTGTGATACAATACACTCAACCGAGATTTCATAACGGCTTGTTTGTCACGTGACTTGCTTATTTGCATATTCAGAATCTTTTTAATACAATGTATTCGGCCCTCCGTATACTCTATACCTTTCTTTAAACAGTGATAAACAGTGTCAGATCAAAATTCAATGACATTTTATACATTTTGTTCCCTGCTCGTGACAAAAATTGACGAGGTGAGAATATTTTTTTTTAGAATGACACTTTTTAAGATGTTTTTTAATTGTTAGGCAATGTAAAATTACAACCATTTTAAAACAACGAAACAGTAGGAACACAAAACAAAACGTCAAAGTGAACGTTCAATTTACAATACAGTAAATAGTGTTCTCTTATGATAATTTACGTTACCATGATAATTTCTGTGGGGCAGTAGTTTTTAGGGAAAAATAATTTGAAAAGATTATACATTTTGTTCCATCTACAGAGTAAAAATAATTAAACAAAAATGTTAATTCTTAATAATATAATTGTCATGGTTCAAGATATTAGGTATTAGTATGGCCATTGTCCTTTTTTGTTGTTGTTTTATAGGTCATGCTAATGTCAATTCAAAATGCAAAATTTAAGCATTTATCCAGAAAATATTTCGAAATATCTAAAATTATTCTTATAATTGTAAATTGTGTCTGTTTCTGATAATTGTAAGTTATGTCTGTTTCTGATAATTGTAAGTTGTGTCTGTTTCTGATAATTGTAAGTTATGTCTGTTTCTGATAATTGTAAGTTGTTTGTTTGTTTCTGATAATTGTAAGTTGTGTCTGTTTCTGATAATTGTAAGTTATGTCTGTTTCTGATAATTGTAAGTTGTGTTTGTTTGTTTCTGATAATTGTAAGTTGTGTCTGTTTCTGACAATTGTAAGTTGTGTCTATTAAATGTGGCTTTTGATTATATCGAGAAAAAAAATGGAGGAAGAAATATTAGAAATAAAAAGCCAACAAAAAAGAAAATATCAACATTATGCTTACAAGAGAAATAATAATACAAAAAAAAATGGTGATCATTTATCTGCGTGTCTTAAGTGTCTGGATTCGAAGCATTTTTATGTATGGATTGCTGAGAAACTGTTAAAGAATGTCATTTCTGATAAATACATTCTTCCAGTGTACAGACTTCATTTCGGAACCATTGGAGTGTTATATTTCTTAAGTGAAGGATAACTGGAGTTGTTTGTAGAAATCTTTAGTTTTTGATATTTTTTTGTTACAGCTCAGTTTCATGTGTTCTTCATATTGTGATGTCTTCACAGACGAATGTGGATAAAATACATATATTTCTAATTTCATTATTAATGACTTTTGAATTAATAACTGTGCCATATTTACTTATAACATTTAAATAGTTTTACAATAAATCCGACAAATCTTAATAAGTTTAAAATTTTATCTTTATCCTAGTATTACCGATCAGGGTCTATATCCTTATCATTTTTATAGACGCATTTTTTCCCAACTATTTTGCGATATTATTTAAATTGCTTATGGACCCATGAATATTTTAAACAATATAATCCAATTACTTACTGCTGAGGCCCGTCTATGTATTTAACTTAGAAAATGAATGATTTTTCCCAATTTCTTTTGTCAGTATTTTAAATTGGATGTTGTAACAGGCATAAAATATACAATTACTCAATACGATACACTATATGGATCCAATCGGTAATGAACGGTATGAAAACAAGTGGATGATTTGTGGATTACTGAGGTTTTAATCGATTTTCAGAACTCTCTCTCTTGTGGATCCTTAACATTAGGAGACCAAAGTCGACAGATATTCACCAAAACAGCTTATTACAAGGTAACAAACAGTCTAATTTTAAAGAAATATTATTCAGCAACACAGATTTAAGGAAATTAAAAGTAAGATTCAGTTTTTAATAAGTTTAAGTTTGCTTTCTTTATAATTTCGTAATATTCTATTTGTGATAATTGTTAGCAATATTACTTTCACTGTCTTAATAACTTGTCTATACTTTTTAAATCATGCCTTAGATAACTGAAATAAAATAATCTGGAAATTTATTGGACTACGTATATATATGATCAAAGTTATTATTATGCAAACTGTGTTTAAATAAACTCTTGAACTTACCAGCATTTTGTATGAATAATAATCTGACAGAAAATTACAGAGGTAGTTTTCATTTGTTTCTGCTTTTTTAAGCAATATTTAGTATAGTGTTCAGGAATTATTGTAATTATTGTAATTACCTTTATTTAGTCTACCTTGGTTGCGATTAAACCAGTGAACAAATCCAAGATCGAAATTAACAGACAATTTCTGTTAGAAATCAAAAAGGTGGGTTTAGCTTATAAAACATTATACTGATGTATTTCTTTTTAAAGTTATCGTACTGATTATTGTATATTACACCATCTATTTGTAAACGTTTCGTTTATGTGTAATACAAAGTAGTCTATAGTAACACTTATTAGTAAATTAAAATAGAAATTTTTATTCTTAATGGTAAATTAAATACTAAAAATACTCTTTCTTCTCAAATCCACGCACGTTGGATCGTTTAGTCGTTAAAACATTTATACTCAGTTTCAATACAGTTCACACAGGGAAAAGCTTAATATGTTGGATCAATGTCTAATTACTTTACGAGTCTTAAAACTCTCTACAAACATATTATTAAATTAAATTTGTATCTCATTGAAAGTTGAGACATTTACTGTTAATGTTTTGTGAAATCTGAAAGAAGAACTGTGAAGTAATTGAAACGACATAATTACATGTATCGGTTATAAGTTTGAATTCAGGATATTCTTCATGATTTTCATAAAAAAAGGTAGCCAAACTAAAATATTTATGTTCTGTTTATACTCCGTATCACATATTACAATATCAGACATAAGAGGCTTGTTTTGAAACATAACAGAGTGAATAATCAGGAACTTGACTGTATGATTTCATTGATCGGAAATTAATACTTCCATTTTATGAGACTACCAACCGTTATTTCCTGGACAATCTCACAAAGTTGCTTTAGATTAGTTTAAATTCGCACAAACCTAATCGAAAGCTATCTACGCTAAATGTCATTAATTTATAGCCACAGCCAAATCTTAGGCTACTCTTTTACAACGAAAAGTGGTATTGAACGTTCCGTTATAACGCCCTCATGGCAAAACAGGCGAGCATGATCGGTGACTGGAATCGAAGCCGAGACCCGCAGCTTGCGAGCTGAGTGCCCTAACCACCAGACCATTCCAGACTCTTTAGATTAATGAACCACCAGGCCATTCCAGACTCTTTAGATTAATGAACTCTTCACGAGCTGAATGCCCTAACCATAGGCGATTCCAGACTCTTTAGATTAATGAACCACCAGGCCATTCCAGACTCTTCAAATTAATGAACTCTTCACAAGCTGAGTGCCCTAACCACCAGACCATTCCAGACTCTTTAGATTAATGAACCACCAGGCCATTCCAGACTCTTCAAATTAATGAACTCTTCACGAGCTGAGTGCCCTAACCACCAGGCCAGTCCAGACTCTTTAAATTAATGAACCAACAGGCCATTCCAGACTCTTCAGATTAATGAACTCTTCATCTGCAACAAAGTTTCAATCAAAACAAAATGGAGACACTGGGTTATCATTTCATAAATTTTATATCACCAATTTTTTTTCTTCTCCACCAAATTCTTCTTGATCAGCAGTATACGTTAATCTACTGGAATTCTAATTCAGGCTTAATTAAACTTCGTTCACTGGGTAGTATCGGTATTGTGATACTGGTCCTTCTTTATAATGCCAGCTATCTTACAGTAGAATATCATCGCTACACCGTCATAGCTGCCTCCCAGTGGCTCAGCGGTAAGTCTTCAGGCTTAAGGCGCTAAAAATCAGGTTTCGATACCCCTGGTGGGCAGAGCCCACATAGCCTATTGTATAACTTTGCGCTTAACAACAAACAAACTGTTATAGATACATCTCCATATTTCATATGCGCATGCTTATATTTCACTTGGTCGCGTCATGCTTCAGTACAAAAGCTCTCCTAGAGTTTCCAGAAATGCCAGTTTTTGCTTCATTCAGCCATTAAATTATCCATTTTCCAAATCGTTCTGCTACCGGTCAAACATTAAACGTTTCACCAAGTCCACGTGCTTTATGTCTGCAGTTTTTCCGTGTAAACCACTCTACTTCAACCATCTTGGAAATATTCAGTTGCTTATTCCATGTTCGCTTATATCCTGATTTTTTAATCAATTGATATTAAACTTTTCGAATTTCACTTTGTTCCTGTCGAAATTTGTTTCGACATATATTTGTTTTGTTTTTTTTCTAGACTTTAAACTCGCATTGCAAAACGTTTTGATATTCTCTGAATGAAAGCTGTGAAACACCAAGTTTTGAGAAATATGTCATTGTGTATTATTTTCATTATTTAAAGAAACAATTGTTGTTAGTTCTTCAATGTTTAATTATTTCTGATCTTTCTCAGTTTAGCAAAGTTGGAGCTTCCAAGGTATTCCAATAATACTGCCACTTCACTAATCACTTACTGTAATTGGCTTAACTGCAACAAAAGTAACGATAATTTAAAACAGGTAGTAATGGTAAATGTAGCATAAAAAGGCTTATCAATAGATCAATCCCACTTAAGCCACATGTAATGGTGCTCTATAGCTGACTTGAAGTTATCGTGCAATTATAGTTGAGAAAAAAGCAATTGTTTCATTATAAATATAAAACAATATGTGGGTATAACACAGAAACTCTGTTAAAGTTTTTCTTTATTTAACAGTAGTTCCTATTCTTTCACGTTTTAATTTTAAAAAAATGTTGTTTACTTGTTAGCCTTAGACTTATGATCTGTGTTATGTTTCATATAAAATATTAATTTTAACACAAAACATGATTTAGTAAGAATCTTAACAAAAAGTAAGCTTACTCTCTTTTCCGACTTCACTGCGTCATCCAGTTGACTTTCCTCCTCAGATGTTGTTGATGTGGTTCTACTCTAAGTCTTCTTCTGTTATTGGGTTTCGATTTGATGGATCCAACTTCTGATGACACCAGTTTTTTGTGGGTCTTCTTCTGAGACTACTATATTATCGGTTGACTTTGGTACAATTGCGTTATACTCACACGTCACCTTCCATTCAACTCTATTAAGGTTTTACTTATTTCTATCAGGAATTGATTCATACAAAATTTAAACATAACACATTTATTTTTGTTATTTTATATCAATAACACGTAAGAAAATTATGTTTAAAACTAGTTTTGGTTCTTACTGCAGCATATTTTCCTGCATCTCTCTCTCCATTTATGAGTCCGCTTTCACATTTCCGGGTCTCTACTTCTTTTTCTCGTTAATCGCCTTGTCTATTATATATCTTTCTACAAATAAAGCCAAGCATACCCGTTTAGCTTATATCGGATTAAAAAGTCCTATAATCACAGAGAATCTTATAGTTTCCAAATCCAATGTACTTAGAAAGGCGACCGATCTTCCAATAATTTTATATTTAGTGCTGTAATTCCTTAACCCTTAGAAACTGATCAAAAGTTGGCTGATTTCTCAACACCAACCTATTCTTACACCGAACTTCATAAAAGAAATGTTTTCACAGCCTACAACAAAGAAATCCTTTTGCACTACTCGACACTGATAGGACCATTTCCAGTGATAACAGGGACGGAAACATAAGATAATATAAACAATGAACCTAAACTGTAACAGAGCTGAATCCAGAAAAATAAACTATAAAAATGAAGAATAATCAACTGTGGTCGTTTTTGTAATTACGTCAAAAGGAGAATGGCCAACTGATTAACTTCATGAAAATAACTAGAAGTAAGTCAATCAGCTGAAGGGCCTGAAATTCATGCAGGAATCTCTTCCAATGTATCACCAGGATAGACTTCCACGGCCATTTAATGAAGGTGAATTTTCTTAGTGAAAAGGTGGCAAGTGACTGTAAAAGAACAGGGGTCATCACCTTCTTTGTACCATAAGCCGTTGACCACTGGGCACTTTAGCGATGTCAATTGAACAAAAACTATTGTGACTGTAAATTTAGTTTTACTTATTTCAGGAATGATTGTAATATTTAAATTTTCGAATATTAATGTTGTTAATTGTCAAGAGATGCTTGATTTCTCATTATGGAAGTTTAATGTGCCATTCGTTTTCAGTGTGTAACAGGATTGTTTTAGAGGAATTTAGAATCCAGAGAGAGGGACAGTGCTGTAGTATATGCTTTTAACCTAAACATTTCTTGAACTTTGGACGGAAAAACGATTAACATAAAGTAGTAGACGTGGCCTCCAACGTTTAGGAAATAAATGAAATCATAGACAAAAAGCAAGTCAGGCTAAAGTGTATTGGAGTGTTTAATGAGTAATCAGTGCATCGTTTAGTTTGTTATTCAGTTAAATGCACTGATCCTTCCATTATCATTTTCACTGAATGATCCAAGAGATACTAACCAACAATACGAACGATTACAACAATATCATCATCAAGATAACAAGAAATTCAAAGTAGCAAAAACCAGAATTACATTGTTGTCTGCATCAAATACCTAGGCTAAGTGTTCATAGAAATGATAATATTGTTACGTCTCCGTTCCTTCGTTAATTTTCCGTAAATTCGTTCCGACGAAACTTTAGCGACACAAGTCCTTTCTTAAATAAAACTGGTTTATTCTTTCCGAATACAACTTTTCGATACACTTAATTTCAACAGTCGCTCTATAACAACGCTATAACTCACGTCTCACGTGGCCAACAATATTTTGTCCGCATATATTCAATTACTCATTACCTCGTTCCGTCACGTTGTGACCGTCTTATATATATACCAGACTACCCCCAATCTACTAGTGAAGGTTCGAGAAGGACGTGGCGTGATACTAGTCACGTGACCTCGCTGACGCAACAATATGATGAAAGTTGAGTTGGGTGACCTTTCGAAAGTATTTTTGTTGAAACACGATAAAAATGTCGAACTTTTGTTAAAAGATGATTTGTGGAATCAGAAATATTTCAGAGGCAGTAATTAGTAAAATGTTTATTAAATAGCTTTCTGTGGATAAAGAATACACAGTGATTTTGAGTGGTTTGAGTAAACTAGATAAATAAATTGAAAATATACAACTCTTGTGTGTGATGCACGATTTGTAGAAGTGTAGGTAGTCAGCACAAGCGAGCATGGGCGCCTCACTTGAAAACAAAGTGAGGGGTGCCAGACTAATTAAGGACTGGTGAGCGGACAAAATATTCAAAATTGGGTGGCACGAGCTCCTTCTACCACCCTCCCCACCCCTCTTTAGGC